CTCCTTGGGCTCCTCCACCTTTTTGGGCTCCTCTACCCTCTGTTTCTTGGGCTCCTCCACCTTCTTCCTCTTGGGTTCCTTCACCTTCTCCTCCTTGGGCTCCTCCACCTTTTTTCTCCTCCTTGGGCTCCTCCACCTTCTGTTTCTGGGGCTCTTCCACCTTTTTGGGCTCCCGCACCTTCTCCCTCTTGGGTTCCTTCACCTTCTCCTTGGGTTCCTTCACCTTTTTGGGCTCCTCCTCCTTCTCCTTGGGTTCCTCCCCCTTCCCCTTCCTGGGGTGACCCCTGTTCCCTGCTCAGCCAAGCTCCAGGCCGCCGTGGTCCTGAATCCTGGGTATTCCACCCTCCCACCCGTCTTCAGCCTGTGCCTGAACTGGAAGGGGGAGCGGAACAGCAGCAACGACGACAACATTCGGGTAAGGGGGGGGCAGAGGGGCCCTGTTTTGGGGTGTCCCCAGCAGTTCTGTGCCCAGAACAGGGGAGGTGTTGGGCTGAGCTGCTGGGTGGGCACTGGGGTGCAGCAGTGGGGTCTGGGAGTGCGGAGCAGAGGTCCAGGCCTGTGCCAACCTCATCCCTGTTTCCCAGGCCATGGAGAGCGAGGTCAACGTGCACTACAAGGAGCTGTGGGGGCCCAAACCGGGCTACCAGCTGCTCACCAACCAGCTGCAGCGCCTGTGCATGGTGCTGGACGTGTACCTGGAGACGGAGCCCCACGATCCCAGCGTGGAGGGGCCCAAGGAATTCCCCCAGGAGAAGATGTGTCTGCGCCTGGTCAGGTGAGAGCCCCGGGGGACGGTGCTGGAGGGACCTTGGTGGCACTGCTGTGCCCTGGTGCCAGCCCTGCAGCCTGTCCTGTGTGGGTCTGCCCCAGGAGCTGGTGCCAGGGGGTTCCTGATCCCTCTTCTCCCCTTCCAGGGGTCCCCTGCGCCTGAAGCCCTTCAAGTTCAACTACCCCCAGGGGTTCTTCAGCCATCGCTGAGCCCCCCCTGGGCATCTCTCTGGGATGGGCCTCGGCCCCTCTGCAGGAGGAGTGTCCCCATCCCGCCAGTTTAGCTCCTTTTCCAAGATTTTGGGGTTGGTTTTGTAGCCAAAGGGATTAAACTGAAACAAAGGAGAAGCATGTGTGTGTCCCGTGTGTGTGGAGGGCTGGCAGGGGAGGCCTGGGGGGCTCCAGCAAGGCCTGTGTCCCATCCCCAGGCTCTGACAGCTTTTCCTGGGATGCTGCCTGTGTCCTGCCCTCCCTCCCCACCTCGGGGAGCTGAGGTGGCTGGAACTGAGATGGCTAAAAATAGCCCTTTTGTGGAGCCCGCACTGCAGCCCCAGCCTGTCCTTGGCAGCGCTGGCTCCAGCCCACCCGCCCATCCCTGCAGCTGGGGGGGCTTGGAGGGGAGCAGGGCAGGCTCCTGGGAGAGGCAGGAGGAGGGTTGGGCCATCCCAGCCCCTCAGCTCACCCTGGTTGGCACCAGGACTTGGGCTGTGCCCCCTCCTCACCCCGGGTGGGTCCTGTCCCACATCCAGGCTGGCACAGCTGGGGCTCCAGCCCTGCTCCCGAGGGCTCCTGCCCCCCTCTCCACGGAGAGATTTATCCCCCAGGAGGGCTGACAGCCCCTCTGCTGCTGCCCCACAGCCCCTGCCCTCGGTGCAGTGCTGCAGCCCTGGGGTTAATCTGGGCTTTCCCAGTCCCTTGGGAGCCAGGCTTTAAAAGGAGAAGGGACAAAACAGACTGAAATCCTTTGGAAAGCATGGGGGGGGCTGGCCCTGTTTCCATCCCCAGGACATGGGGGGTCCTTCGTGCCTGCACTGGGGGGGTGTTTTCCCTCTGGAAAGACAGATCCCACCCCCATTCCTGCTCCTTTCCCTCCCTCCCCCAGGACAGACCCGCAGAGCCGGGATGTCTCCGTAAGCACTTTTATTTGGTTATTGCACAGTAAGCAAAGATCAGTGGGCTGAGGTTCCTGGTGCACCCGTGTGTGTCTGTGAGCAATTCCTGCAGCTCCCAGCCTGTGCCTGGGAGCATTCCTGCAGCTCCCAGCCTCTCCCACCGCTGCTCCAGGGGACAGTCCTTCCCCCAGACCCCGCCAGCCCCCCCCAAGCAGCTACAGCTCTGCATTGCACTCGTCCATCCGTTGCACATACATTGAATAAATGCACTTAGAGGAGAAGGGGTGTCCCTGGGGGTGTCCCCGGGGGTGTCCCCCCTTCTCCTGGGTTATAATTCAAGTGTTAAATGTGGGGATCACGTTCTGCGAGGGAAGCGTCGCCCACCCTGCGGCTCTCACAGGGCCTATTGCTAAGGGGAAGCCCAGCCTGGGGGTCCCACCCCGGGCCCGGCCCTCGGGGAGGGGGACAGAGCAGCCCCCGTGCCCGCAGTGCCCATTGGCACCCAGGACTCTCCACTCACTTCTTCCCTGCACTGGGGGCCGGCTCCGGGGCTGTGCCCTCCTTGCCAGAGGGGGCCTCGGCCTTGGGGGGGTCCTTGCTGGCTTTGGGCTCATCTTTGGGTTTTGCTTGGGCTTTGGGTTCCTCCGCTTTCTTGGGTTCCTCTGCCTTCTCCTTCCTGGGCTCCTCTGCCTTCTTGGGCTCCTCCACCTTCTCCTTCTTGGGTTCTTCCACCTTTTTCTTGGGTTCCTCCGCCTTTTTGGGCTCCTCCACCTTCTTTTTGGGCTCCTCCACCTTCTCCTTCTTGGGTTCCTCCACTTTCTTGGGCTCCTCCGCCTTCTCCTTCTTTGGCTCCTCCACTTTCTTCTTCGTCTCCTCCACCTTCTCCTCAGCCTTTGGCTTCTCAGCCTCCTTGGCAGCCGCTTTGCCGACCTCCTGCTGAGGTTTTGGTGGAGTTTCCTTCTCAGCTTTTCCTTCTTCAGCTGGTTTGGGGCCTGGCTTGGGGGTCTCTTTCACCTGTGGGGCTGGAGGCTCTGGCACAGCAGCCACCTTCTCTTTGGGTTTCTCCTCTGCCTTGGCTGGCACGTCCTTCTTGGGAGCTTCCTCCTTCTTTCCCTCCTCCTTGGAGGGAGCCTTGGGCTGCTCCTTGGGCTGCTCCTCCTTGGCGGGGGCTTTCGGCTCCTTCGGAGCAGGGCTTGGCTCCTTGGCCGGGGCCTCCTCCTTCTGTGGAGACTTGGCCTCCTCCTTCCCGGGAGATTTGACCTTCTCTGGTGACTTCACAGCTGGGCTCTTGGCCTCCTCCTTTGAGGGGGTTGGGGCTTTTTCTGGGGACTTCACAGAGGGGGCTTTGGCTTCGTCCTTTGAGGGAGCTGCGGGTGTCTCTGGGGACTTCACCGCCGGGCTCTTGGCCTCTTCCTTAGGGGGGGCTGAGGGTTTCTCGGGGGTCTTGGCCTCGTCCTTTGAGGGGGGTGCAGGTTTCTCTGGGGACTTCACCACTGGGGTCTTGGCCCCCTCTTTTGAGGGGGGTGCAGGTTTCTCTGGGGACTTCACCGTGGGGGTCTTGGCCTCCTCTTTGGAGGGGGTTGGTGGCTTTTCAGGGGATTTGACAGCAGGGCTCTTGGCCTCCTCCTTGGAGGGGGTTGGGGGTTTCTCTGGTGACTTCACAGCTGGGCTCTTGGCCTCCTCCTTGGAGGGGGTTGCAGGTTTTTCTGGGGACTTCACAACTGGGGTCTTGGCCCCCTCCTTGGAGGGGGTTGGGGGCTTTTCAGGGGACTTGGCCTCCTCCTTTGAGGGGGACTCAGGTTTCTCTGGGGACTTGGCCTCCTCTTTTGCAGGAGACTTGGCCTCTTCTTCACCCTCTTCAGCTTTCTCCTCTTCTTCTTCCTCCTCTTCAGCTTTCTCCTCTTCAGCCTCTTTCTCAGCCTCCTCCTCCTCCGTGACCTCCTCGGTCACCTGGATTTCCTCCGTCTGCTCCTCCACAATCACCGTCTCCTTCTCCGATTTTTCCACCACCTTGATCTTCTCCTCGCTCTTCACCTTGATGTTGGTGGTGATGCTGGGAGCCTTGGGGACCACCTCGGGGTAGGAGAGCATCCCAATGCCAGTCTCGAGCCGATATTCCTCCCCTTCCAAGAGCTTTCTGCCAGGAAGAGACCAGAGTAGGGCAGTCAGCGATGGCTTCTCATCCCCTCCCGTGACCAGGAGCTGCCAGCCCTGTCCTGCAGCCCCATCTCCCTCCTTGCCCTGTCCTGGATCACTCTCCTGCTCCTACGCCCTGGGCTGGGCAGGTTCCCTCACCCTTCCCTCCACACTCCAGGGCTGGATCACGCAGCGGGATGTCGGTCTGAGGGGATGGATGGTCTCCTCCTCACCAAGAAGAGCCCAGGGGTGAAGGGGGGACCTTGAGCAGCCCTGGCTGAGCCCCCCCCTCACCCTGCCCCCTGTACCTGTAGGCAGCAATCTCGATGTCCAGGGCCATTTTGACGTTGAGCAGATCCTGGTATTCCCGGAGCTGAGCTGCCATCTCCCACTTGGTGTTCCTCAGCTCGCTGTCCAGCTGCTGGATGGTTTCCTGGGGGCAGACAGAGCAATGGGGGTGTGAGATGGGCTGTGTGGGGACACTCCCCGGGAGCA